CAAATTTTGGCGGAGGAAGTTGTCTCGGGAACCACCCCCCGTCCTTTGGTACCGCTTACGACTCCATGAAATTCCTGGCGGGGGAATCGTTGTCTCGAGAACTATTAAAGCTGGGAAGGTGAATTTTTACGGTAATAACCTCTGCCCATGCACGACTTCGCAAATTTAAATCTAGCCTCCTGGCTTACTCGGGTATCACGTAGGCTCCGTGGAAGTTTTGGCGGGGAAATTATTATCTGCCTCGTGAACCAAAAGCTAGGGAACTGAAATTTTAGGGTAATGTCTTCTGCATATGTACAACTTCGCAACTTTAAATTCAGCTTTCTCCTAGGTGTGCGTACCACGCACGACCCTGTGAAAGTTTTAGGGGAGGAGGGAATTATCTTGGGAACCACGAAAGCTGCGAAGCTGAAGTTCTACAGTATTATCCCCTGCCCACGTATGGCCATACAAACTCAAATTCGGCTTTCATGTACACCTGGTCTCAACGTCCCCGTAAATGTTTTAGTGGGAAAATTATTACTTGGAAGCCAGAAAGGGTGGGACGTTGAAAATTTCGGATGTTTTCTGCCTGCACAGGGGCCACACAAATACAAATCTAGTCGCCACGTATGCCGAGGTTTCACGCATGACCATGTGAAAATTTTGGCGCCAAAACCACTCAAAACCCAGGAAATTAGGAGGTCGATTTCGGAAGGATGTTAAAGTAAAAGGTTTTAGTGGGAAATCTCGCAACTTAGGAACCAGACATTTCAGCTATTTCCGCACGTACCAAAGCGCAGAGCAGCAGAAATTCTTAGCAGGTAAAAGTTCACCGGACGGGACTGCGCAAAATGCATAATCACACCGGCTATCCTGGTGCGCGCCGCTATTTATTTCCTCTAGCATCGTCTGCTAATCCTGAACCTAATGCATATGTGACGTCAGCTGGAGATGAAAGTTCAAAACCAACAAGCGGCTGCCTGCTGCACGTTTGCCTATACAGTTTATCCTGCAGCAATATTTTTTTGGACAACTGTTACGTATGCAGACAATAGTATGAACTTACTCTTATTTCTTAGATAACAAAACAATATGAAATTAAAATCAATACATCGTACATATGAGTGGAATGAGACGCAATGTTGAAAAACGACAGATATGAAATGAGGCACTGTACTGGTGATTCCCACTCTACTTCGCATCGGTTCTGCCGTCTGTGTTTACAGCTCAAGGATGAAGCACAGGCAGGCTATCAATTCACTCCACGTATAGGCTTGCCTATTTGGGAGGCCTACATGGCACTTCCAGTTTTTTATCAGTTATCAAAATTCAACTGTGTCCTTTCCACGGTGGGCCAACAACGCCAAACAAACTGCATATGTTCAAACATAAAAGATTTTAGGCCTTCGTCCTCTTCCAATCTCCTAGCCAGGGACATTCACTCTTTGTTTCTTTAAAGGCTGCCCTATGTCATGCTCTGGAAATTTCGGCAGTGTAGCTGCGCTGGTTGTGGGGCCACGTCAAATTTCACGTGTTCATATGTGAGGGAGGAAAAATACCCCCTCCCCCTCATTTCCGCTGTCCTAATCCGCAAAACGAGTGCCTACGGTGGACGGCCTGAACTGCGCACAAAAATTTTTCAAATCATCCACATGTGTGAAATGACCGTCCAAATCACCATGCAGAGCTGAGAAAATTTCATCAAAATCTTCCAGCCTCAAATCTTCCACTTTTGTGTCCGGGTTCACAATGGAACAAACTTCATCGCTCCTCTTCGGAAACCACTCCCTGTAACATCATCTCCTGTGCTATTCATTATGTACGTAGAGCAATCAAAGCTGTGCAACATCTTGCTCTTAACTGCAATTAGTTGCCCTTCCACTGTAACGCAGAGAAGGTGGGACAAGCGCTGCAGCCATTAAAAGACTGATCACCAGATGACGAAGTTTTGGCCACCAAAACTACCGATGGCTGTGTTAGCGGTGTGTTACGAATATATCATAAGAATTGAAAGAAGCATAAACAAATGTAGCCAAATTTAGGAACTATTTTTACACAGGTTGCGAAACCGATGAAGCGCCCGACCTGAGTTTTTGCGCCATCTTCGTTTTCGCAGTCATTTTGCCTGTAAACGTGATCCAAAAGGCGTATTTCATCAG